ACGTGACTGAGGCTCTGTTAGGGTGTTTTTGGGGCCACCATCTTTTGTGCACGTTATTCGGAGGACAGCCGACATCTAAAATGCATGATACTTTATACAACACAAAGACAATTTATCAATCGGTGGTAAGGGGTGATCACTTCGTAGGTGTAAGCGTTAGCATGTAATGATTACACTAGAGAGGTTATCCTGTGATATTTTCCAGCTCGTCACTTCGTTGTTGAGAGTCTGCGTGCGCAGTTAGCATCCCTTACTCTTAACTGGTATTTAAATACACGACTGACATAAGCATGCAGCAAACCTTCTTTTGGCTATGTTGAAGATGTAAATCGAGTTGCGTATTTCTAATAAACAGTGAATAATGATAATAAATAGTTAAAAAAAAATGCTTTTTTTCTCTGGCTATGGAAAGTATAAACTGTGTTTACATCGGTTACGTGCACACCTTTCCACTGCTCATCACAAACATTAGAAAGAGTCAGTCATGGTTTAAAAAAAGTATTACAACAGTATTGTCCCTGAATGAAAAGAAAGCAATTAGAACGCACTGTGACAACTGGAAAGATTTATAGTTAGAGAAACAGAGGAAAGCAACGAGACAAGAATGTGGACAGTTTATTGTAATGCAAAGACGGAAGATGTAGCTGTACACGGACTGATAAATGCTGGTCGTGTTGGCAAAATGAGGAAAAGTGTGATTAGCAATTCACTTGATGACGATGATGATGCTGAATCCTGGTATGTATATGTGTAAATATGTATGTGTGTGTGCGTGTATGTATGTATACATGTGTTTGGTGTCTGTCTGTCTGTCTGTCTGTCTGTCTGTCTGTCTGTCTGTCTGTCTGTCTGTCTGCCTGTCTCTGTCTGCCTGTCTCTGTCTGTCTGTCTGTCTGTCTGTTTGTCTGCCTGTCTCTGTCTGTCTGTCTGTCTGTCTGTCTGTTTGTCTGCCTGTCTCTGTCTGTTTGTCTCTGTCTGTTTGTCTCTGTCTGTCTGTCTGTCTGTCTGTCTGTCTGTCTGTCTGTCTGTCTGTCTGTCTGTCTGTCTGTCTGTCTGTCTGTCTGTCTGTCTGTCTGTCTGTCTGTCTGTCTGTCTGTCTGTCTGTCTGTCTGTCTGTCTGTGTATGTATTATGTATGTGTGTGTGTTTATGTATGAACATGTAAGAGTATGTGCACGTGGGTACCTTTGAGTGTGTATGATTATGTAAATATGATGTGTTTATGCATTATTTCCTTATGTACACTATTATATAGATATAACATGTATTACTGATAAACATGCAATTGTGGTCTAAAAGATGAGTGCTCGGAAGAAAGAAAGAATGCGTACCCAATTCATTACCTTTTGAAAATAAAAAATCGTCCGTTTTCTCTCTCTCTCTCTCTCTCTCTCTCTCTCTCTCTCTCTCTCTCTCTCTCTCTCTCTCTCTTTCTCTCTCTCTCTCCCTCCCTCCCTCCCTCTCTCTCTCTCTCTCTCTCTCTCTCTCTCTATTTCTCTCCCTGGAAATCGAGCCCTGGTAGGTCGAGGATTGTGAAACACACTGACTGACCTATAAGCCACTGACCTTTGAAGGAACCGTTTCCAAGCCTTCAACAGTATAGGGCACATAGCGCTAGATCCACATTTTATAGATGGATCGGCATTCGGTGGATGATGTGGTCTACATCACGCCTGCCGCCTTGACTTCCAACAATTTCACCTGGTACCCGTTTTATACTGAGTCGACATGGAAGCCAAGTGAAGAAAAAAAAAGTCTGCTTCCGTTCGAATTTGAACCAACGACCTTTCGGACCCTCGGATGAGCATCTAGCCGCGAGACCACTGCGGCTCCTATAAGTCATAGAGCCTTACTTTGTTTCATTATAAAATAATGACAAGCCCATATCATCGGGCACAGGTGTCGCCGCAGCACACTCACCACGTCTGACACATCACTAAGTTTATGTCCATAACACGGTTCAGCAAACAGCTGCAACCAGACAAGCTGCTGTGCTTTTGAGATGTATATGCATGTTATTGATTGTAGCTTAACTTTTGTATAATACATATTCTGGATAACGTTTTCTGGATAACGTTTTCTCGATAACAAACGCCTTCCGAGGGGAGCTAGTAAACATTTTCAGGACAAACCAGGTAGAAACTGACTGACTGAATGACTAACTGACATTTAACCCCACAGAACACGACGAGCGATAAACACTCGATGACACAAAGAGCCACAATTCATGTGAGAATCGCCCGCGCTCCAGTCCCGTTCAAAAAAAGGGCCCCGGGGTGGGGAGCTTTAAAAAAAAAAACTATATATCCATATCCGGGCGAAGATAACATAACAGGCTGAGGTAGGTAAGTGCTTTGGCGGAGAAAAATCATCAATTCAACCAGCATCCTAGAAGGGGGAGGTTAAGGTTATAATTGGGATTAGGTTATTTGTGCCATATACAGTGACTTAGCAATACACGCCAACAAGAGCCACGTAAAGGACTCAAGGGAAGGGCGAGACCGATGTACAATCAGACTGTTACTGGTACCATCGGAATTGGAACTCTTTGGTGGAACTCTGAAGATGGGGACGGAGCACTTATGGGAGTACCCCGAGTGCCATAACATCGATTCTTAATTCAAAATTCAACCCCCGTCAGCTCTCCGTTGATATCACATCTCTGTTATGATTTTGTGCACAGTAGTTGTAAGTATGAAACGATATCAGTAAAGAAACAAGATTATTATGGCACCTGGATGTAACCAGAGGGTCTGGCCGGCTCACTACACTCAGAGGAAAGACAAGACGGACATATAACCAGATTGTGACCGGTACCATCAGTATTGAAACTCTGCGCTGGCTGCTGAAGATGAGGACAGAGCACGCATGGAAATGCCCTGAGTGCTGCGATATCAATTCTTCAATCAACTCGACTAACTAGTCGTTAATATGGTCCATGTTTGACACTGATGACATGCTGTCATCCAAATGTTCTTACGAGATTTACCTTTATACAGGAATGTAATTTTGGGGATGTTTTTGAGAAGAGTTTTGAAAAGAGTTTCGTGGAATGGTAGAGAAAAAAGACACACACACACAAAGAGTCAGATCTAAGTCGTAAACTCACTAGAACAGTTGGACGTAGGCTGTGTTTTCCAGGCATGTTATGAGAAGAAATGGAATCGAAAACTTGGTAATCACTTGCAAATTAATGGAAAGTGAGCACAAGAAAAGGAAAATGATAAATACCTGGATGGCTCGGCAACGACCTGCTCAAGAACATTCACCTGGGTACATGATGGCGATGATAAATGACACAAACACATAAAGACGAGTTGCAACCTAATCGTGTTCTGTTATTTCCACTCCTATTTTTATAAAGTGCCCTTCATTGTACTTAATCTTTCACACGAGCGACTTTCTCTTACAAGGGTGTCAGGTTCGAATGCACTCTCTCGTGGGACCTAGGCTCAGGCTGTCCCCTGGGGGTGAAGGGGGGGGGGGTTGGAGTTAGGGCCAGTTGTAGATGTAATGGGGTCGGTAAAAGTGGCGGTAACATCGTGTAGTATGGAACGCCCAATATCGCCGGTGTTGGTGTAGTGGACTATGCAACCTGACACCCATGTAAGAGAAAGTCGCGCATGTAAAAAGATTAGAATCATCAATTAACTGCCGATCACGGTGTCGCTGGGCCTGAAAACGTGAGTTGTACCGTACTTTTAATAAACCAGTATCAAAACTTACTTCTAGTCACACACCACTGCCCCTTTCTCAGCAACAATCGGTTTTGATTATTTACGCAAACATATTGCAGTTTTGTAATATTGATTGGCTACTAGCTCAGAACTACTACTACTCACACAGCTGGTGTGTGACGTCTAACGTCTTCTGTGATACACGGGAATAAGCCAGTCACTGGGTGGGGGAAATTCAGTCATTACGGTGATAACTTGAAATTAGCAAGTTATATTTCTCGTTTGGATGTGTATCTTTGAGTGGTGTGGATTAAATATGCTTCACAGATTAGGTGACTAAGTTATTTTAATCAACGAATTAAATGTCGTATCCGTAATGAAGGTTAGTTGTAACTTTTCTTCAGCACTATCTGTATCGTGCTCTGTTTATACATCAGTCAATCAGGTGCCGTCTCCACAGTGAAGGTTGGCTGCGATGGATCTTCAACATGCTCTATCACTAACTGGTTTATAATAGCAGTAGTACTAGTAATAACTGTAGTCTTCTTCTACCTCCTTCCTTCTTCTTCTTTTCCCTTCTTCTTCTTACTCTTCTTCTTCTTATTTTCCCTTCTTCTTCCTTCTTCCTGTTCTTTCTTCTTGTTCTTCCTTCTTCGTCCCTCTTCTTCTTCTTCTTCTTCTTCTTTTTTTTCTATTTCTTCTTCTTCCTCCTTCTTTTTCTTCCTTCTTCTCCTTCTTCTACGCGTTCACTGGCTGTAAATCCGGCAGAAAGTTCTGGTTGTTCGTTCAACTCTGGACTCTGTTTAGGCTTGTTCGAGAACCAGAGTGTTGCATGCACGTCCATTTCACATATCTGGCATATTTGTATGCAGACTCTTGGTTCCTTGCATCTCATTCATATTCACTCTGACCTTAAAGGATACCCCCAGTTAGTCGACTCCTACAGCTTGTTGGGGAGGCAGTGAGTCTAGTCTAGTTGTTCCTATAATAGAGCCATGGAGCTCCCATACTGGGAATTAGAGTAGTTGAAATAGAGGCAGAACAGGATTACTAGCATTACTGTAATGGTGGTTCTGAGAAAGAATTATGTAGTTACTCAGTGTCATCAGGTTTCTTCAGTGTTTGTCATATCCAGCATTAGCGTTTGGTTACCTGAACATGTTCTATTTCTTTCAGATACACTTATGTATTTAACAGCATTAATTGTGTCTTCTTGTGCACGATAGTTAAGTTTTAAAAAGTAACAGTTAGTTATGGTGATTGCCAACTGAAAAAAAAAAAACCTCAAGGGAATGAAACGAAAACAACATTTTCTTCCTTCATAATGTTTGTTCTAACCAACTATCCAAGTTTAACGTTTTTGGTAGTGATATTTCTCATTTCAACACCAACAAAAGTCCATTCTACATGTGACACAACTGCAGGATGCTTCCCGCCAATTTTTCAAATCCTAGACAGGTTTTCCAGTTTTCTCGCGAGGTCCATCTACTCGAGCTCCATTTGTGGATCCAATTCCTCAACGCCATTGCAGTACCTGAGTCTGATCAGCTCTGATGTCAATATCTACACGTGCCAGCCAACAGCCATCCAGCCGATCAATGTCGTTGACAAGGACACAAGTCAACAACAGCCAACTTACTGGCAGTCTGATAAAATGGTGGACACAGACGGGGCAATACCCAAGGATCAGTACATCGTTTTTAACTTTACGGATGAGTTTATCCTTCATACGGTTAGTGATACTTGTTCAGTGTTACATGTAAGGCAATAGTGTGTGGTGCAGTTTGGTACTCTTTGTGTCTCTATAATGTAGAGTTGTGAAATAGTCAAAGGTGTTGTAGTTATTGTTGTTGATGTTGCAGTGGTGGTGGTGATGGTGGTATTAGTTGTTGATGTTGCTGCTGCAGCAGCAGCAGTACTCGCTAAATAAATAACAGCAGCATCTTTATTAAGACTTATCTCATCTTGATCCTTGTCTACCTTGCAGTGTGGAGGTAAAGTGTAATTTATGGGAAGGAGCCCGTTGATAGGCTTTGTACACTTGGATTGCCAAGGACTCTGTAATTCCCTCTGCCCATCACTTGCATGTAAGACTAATAGTAGTAGGAGTAGCAGCATCAGTAATGATTGTAGTAGTATCAGCAGCATCATAGCATCAGTAGTAGTAGCAGCATTAGTAGTAGTAGCAGCAGTAGTAGTAGCAGCATTAGTAGTAGTAGCAGCAGTAGTAGCAGCATTAGTAGTAGTAGCAGCAGTAGTAGCAGCAGTAGTAGTAGCATTAGTAGTAGTAGCAGCAGTAGTAGCAGCATTAGTAGTAGCATTAGTAGTAGTAGCAGCAGTAGTAGCAGCATTAGTAGTAGCATTAGTAGTAGTAGCAGCAGTAGTAGCAGCATTAGTAGTAGCATTAGTAGTAGTAGCAGCAGTAGTAGCAGCATTAGTAGTAGCATTAGTAGTAGTAGCAGCAGCATTAGTAGCATCAGTAAGTAGTAGCAGTATCTCCAGCATAGCAGTATCAGTGGTAGTAGTAGTAGTAGCAGCATCAGTAGTAGTAGTAGCAGCAGCATCATAGCAGTATCAGTATTCAGTAGTAGTAGTAGTAGTTGTAGCAGCAGCAGCATATCAGTAGTAGTAGTAGTAGTAGTAGTAGTTGTAGCAGCAGCAGCATATCAGTAGTAGTAGTAGTAGAAGTAGTAACAGCAGCAGCAGTAGCAGTAGCACCATAGCAGTATCAGTAGTCAGCAGTAGAAGTAGTAGCATCAGCAGCAGCATCAGTAGTGGTAGTAGCAGCAGCACCATAGCAGTATCAGTAGTTAGTAGTAGTGGTAGCAGCAGGAGCTTATCAGTATCTGTAGTAACAGTAGCAGCTTATCAGTATCAGTAGTAACAGCAGCAGTTTATCAGTATCAGTAGCAACAGCAGCAGTATTAGTAGTAGATGTAGATGCAGGGATAGTATTAGTAGCATCAGCAACATTACCATTGTGGTGGTTATGGTGGTGGTGGTAGTAGTAGTGTTATAAAACATATATGATATTAAACACAAGAAAAGACAACCCAGCAAAATAAATTACAGTTTAGTCATCATCATCATCATCATAAACCACTTCTGCCGTTAAGCGTCGTGGGGAGGGAGGAATAATTTGCGATCCAGTGCACGTTAGCTGCCACTGGCTATTGTCATGCCGTGAAGGCGTAGAGTGTCTTTAATGTTAAACAGTTTAGTAATCACCTTTAAAAAACGATGAATTCTTATTCTTCAGCATTCTGAGCCTTTGAGGTTTGTTGCTGCAGATGTCACCCGCCTCCACTCATCTCTCTAGCTGGCCTTCTCTTTCCAGTTAGTGACACCAAGTGTTTGCAGGTCTGTCTGGACGTTGTCTCTTCATCATCTTCCTAGTCTGCCTCGTGGTCTATGACCATTCATCTCCCTCTTGTATACAGTTTTTACCTCTCTGTCATTTGACATTCTCTCAATATGCCCAAGCCTTTTCAGTCTATTAGATCTCACGTTGCCAGTGATCAGTGGTGATTTAAATAGATTATGAATTTCGTTGTTGCTTCTCTCTCCATTCCCTGCCGTTTGCATCTCTGATGGGTTCAAAGATTCGTCATAATCCTCTGTTTTTGAAATTTTTAATGAAGCTTCATCTCTTTCAGTTGTGCTCCAAGTTTCAGAGCCATATAAAGCGACTGGTCTTATTAAAGTTTTATATTTTTTGTCCTTGATGTTGCGAGATAGAGACTTTGATTTTAGCAGATGTTGAAGGGCATAGTATACTTTATTTTCAAATTGTATTCAAGATTGTATTTCTTCTCTCAGCATGTTGGAGCGGTTGAAGTTCACACTCAAATACATATATGTTTAATTTTGTTTGATTTTCATATTATGGACTTGTATGTGGGTGGAGTTAATATCATTTCCCTGTCTTGTTATTATCATGGGGGGAAAAAATAATACCATGCATTCAAAATTTTTATTATAATTGTTGTGCTTTTCTTCAGGTAATCACAAAATTTATGGCTCTTCACCTGCAGTCTACAGACAAATCAGTCGATGCCCGACCTCTAGCATTTAGCATAGAGAAAGTAGACTCCACAACTGACCAGTGGTCAGCTCTGGAGCATTTCTCCAGAGACTGCAACAAATATTTTCCAAGCATACCTAAGTTCCAGCCATTCGATATCGACCCAGACTTCACCCGTGTACTCTGCACAGAATACCCTCCTGTGGATGATGATAGTCCCTATGATGATTACTACAATGAGGTAGGATTCTAGCCTCTCTGCGTCATTTTCAAACTTTCTATTCCACTCATACACTGGCTGGACTGGTAGGTATGCATCGATATGCTGGCCATTCACTCACCGATGAATTGCTATGTTTCACCCCATACAAAATAATGGATAACAGAATGTTGCTCCTCTTTGGTGCATATCAGAAGTGGGGCGGCCATCTCTAAACTGTCATAACATCACTGTATACCTCTGCATCATGATGTCACATTCCTAACACCCTTGACAGCCTTAATAACAGTTTTGACAGGTTACAAGACAATGGCGTGATTATTGTTCTTTTTTTTTTCTCCTTTTTTTTTTTCACTTGAAATAGATTATCTGTATCTGCAATGTTGTCTCTAGTATGAGCTTCTCTGTCTGTTGTAATTTACTCAGCAACCCAGTGTTTCTCTTGGCCAAATGTTTTGCTTGCTATGTTGTATCTGGGACAGTCCTGGAGAATGTGATTCGTTTTATCTAGTGCCAATCCACAAGTACACATGGCTGATTCATCAATCTTACATTTTGTGTACATGCAGCTGCGAAGTCGATTGTGTCCTGTTCTAAGGTGCAGGATAATGGTTACTGTAATTTCAGGCATATTATTAGGTTTCTAGTTAAAGCCACCTCTTGTTTTGAGGTCTAAAACTTCACGTGCAGTGGCAGTATCTGCTTTGGGGCTAACCTTTTCAGCTGTTAATTCTTCACTCTAGAAACAGTTCTGGTGATTGTGGTGCACTGTATGGGTACTCATATATGTCAGGACTTATCTACACCTCTTATTGCCCATCCTAGAAACAGGTTCCCAGACTGATGCCTAATTAGTGTAGACAAGGTGGATGTTTGCTTTTTAAGTCAAGGTACATCTGTTCAAGAGGCAAGGAGCTGACAGCCAGTATTAAATTAAGTCAGCTCTGTAAAAAAAGGTTTGAGGTTTGAACAACGGATCAACATCATGACACACGGGTAGTAACCCATAAGAGGTCTGTTCTTCTTCTAACTCAAGTCTGAATCTAAAGAAGCTCGGCACAGTGTACAGGCTCTGTAGCACCGGCAAGGATCCTGAAATACTTTAGGTAGATTTTTAACTACAAATTTTGCCCGGGCAGTGCAGTTAGGTTAGTATTTTCAATTTCCAACGTGTGCAACAATGCACACAGGCATCCGATCTCAGTACCCAGAGATCAGGGGAAATAACTACAAGTCCAAGTCCACATGAAAAAATCCCAGCCCTTACCGGAGATTGAACCTGGAACCTCCTGCACTCGAAGCGGACACCATGCCCCAAGACCACTAAGCTCCCTCTGTAAAATAAGTGCTTATGCAACACCCAAGTCCTGGAGCAAGAACAAAGCCCAGAAGCGGATAATCAGCCAGAACTTTCTGTTGGCTTACAGCTAGTAAACGAAAAGAAGAAGAAGACAATGAAGATGACGGTGATGATGATGATGATGATTCTAAAAACTATAAGCACATGATGATTAACATTTACTTAGCAGGTAGGTGTTATTCAGTTAATCATCCTATAATTAACACACACAGAACACTGTTTCAGAATATATTAACTAAAAGAGTCTGTATAAAAGACATGCGGTAAATAATAATACGAAACATTAAAAAAATATACAATAATTTGGGAACAATCATAAAATGTAGTCACATTAACTATGACAGCCACTGTAATGGCTGGATCTTGCCAGCACGCCTGCTTGCCTGAAATCTTGGGTTCAATTCGTACTGATCCTCACCCACAGATCAGCAAAGAATAAAATGGAAACTTCATGGAAAGTAAAGGCAACTGCACGATTTTGAACGCATCGTCTATTGAGGACACATTACTTTGTACTGGTGTGGGTCCATATGCTGGAGGAATGGGTTTACTAAGATAGTCCTTTTTTTTGGTTGATTAATTACATTAAAAAAAAGTTTTAACTCTTTGAGTCCCAAGGAACGCATCGTACGTTCATAGGTTCCTACCTAGAAGCTTAGTGAATGCATGATGCACTGATTTTATGACTCTTTTTACTACCCCCTGGGCTTGTGATGCTAAACCCCTTGGGACTCAAAAGAGTTAAAGAAGTCGCTGCCGTTAGGGTATTAATTTTACTTAGGCCATACATTTGACTATCGAAACAGATTGAATACAGCCCCGGGCTCCGATATGACAACACCGACAACCAGTTCAAAAACAACATGACAGCGATAGCTCACTACAGTGTGTCCGCCATTCGCATCCATATACTTCAGCCACCCAATCTGAATCCACTCAGGTCTTACGTGGCCATTAGTGACATCATCATTGATGCACAGTGCAAGTGTCATGGACATGCAGACAGCTGTGGTGGCCAGGTAATAATAGTAATTCTGTTTCAATTAAGAATTGAATTTATTAAAGAGCAGTCAATATGATTTTATGTGGCTTCTCACTAAACACATAAAAGTAAAGGTAAGAGGATCAACTTCATTGCACTGGGTTTTTTCCCATATGGCTCAGTTTCTCACAGAACGGCTAGCCGCCTGACAGGAGCGTCACACAGAGTATGAACTTCATAGCTCTGACGACGATCCCCAGGTATCTCTGTAAAAATTGCATTTATGAAATAAATGGCGCCGCCATGAAAGAAACCCAAGACATTAAGAGTGCGAGGCAAGCAGTTTGACCACTTCGCCACAGAGACCCCTACTAAACACAAAATCCAGTGTAAGGGGGAGACTGTAGCAGCAGCAGCCATAGCTTTCCAATGACTGAAGAGCAGGGCAGAACAGCATGGGGTTGTAAAAAATTTAGAGAATGTGTGAAGTTTCTTTGTTTGCTCATTCATTTCATCCTAACCAACACAAGACTGCAGGTTTCACCGAGCTTGTGTAGCATTATGGGTGCCCTAATTATGGCTTCTTTAGAGATTGAACAGACAGAGAGATAGCTGTTTGTGTGCAACAGAAGGAGACAATCTGCATTCTCTGGCTATGTCATGAAAAAGGAGAAAACTGGAGAAAAATGTGACGGTTGGAAAGTTAGAGGGGAAAATTGGCAGAGGGAGACAGAGAGAGAAGATGCGGGACAGTTTTACATCATGGCATGGAAGATCATCTGTGTCAGAACTGACTGAAAGTACATGAGACACAAGGTTGTGGGTAGACGTGACGATCGATGCCACACGGCGTAGACGTGAAGAAAAAGCAGAGGTTGAAATGAGTTTATGGGATTTACCCGACTGGTCTGACATCCATATGAAGATTTATATGGGGAATGGGGAATCTATTGCTTTGCTAATATAGTTCTTCTTACTAAGCCACAATATTCCAAGAATTATACTACAAAATGTATGTTCATAAGGCTCAGTTTTCTTCTTTTCTGAAAACAAAATGGTATATGGTTTACGCCCATAAGTTGCAAAAGGAAAGATGCATGTTCACTTAATTGTTTAATTCTTTTGTTTTTTGAATCGCTGTTTCTACTTCTTTTGAAATATGTCCCATATTGTTATAGTTGTTCACTCATCACTGTACGCCATCTTTCTTCGCTAGAACAACGCCACCTGTAACTGCCAACACAATACCACAGGGCAGCAGTGCAAGAGTTGCCAACCTTTGTACAACAACCAGAACTGGACTCCAGGAACCACAATGAATGCGGGTCTATGTCTGGGTAATTTCACCTCATTCATGTCTGCAATTTGTTTCTTCCCTTTCCCAATTCTTTTCCTGATTTTCTTCCTCCATGCAAACTGATTCATGTCATACTGTTTCCCTGCCATCTCAACACCTGTATCATTCATGTCCTTTATAAAAATTATTATTGTTGTTATTGTTATTAAACACATAAACAAGGCTTAGGTTTCTCAAGGCCCCTAACTTTAGACAAAAAGGGGCCTGAGATCCCATCCTTGTTTTCTATGTGTCAGTGCCCCTGACCTTCATCACATCAGTCTCGTTATGTTGTTAATTTACCTCCTTCTGACTCCAACATCTGTTAGGTAAATTATAAATTCATTATTATAGAATGATTCAAAGCCACTAATACTGGGAGTGAAAGGGTTAAATTGAAATATTTCTTCTTGTGGTACCAGTATCACAGCATCAGAAGCAGCAGTAATAGTAGCAGTCATAGATATGCAGCACTGGCAAATTTTATTGGCATTATTTTTTTTTTTCAGCACTGCTTAAATCGACACTTTGTGTTGTGTACTGGCACCATTTTTTTGGCACTTTTAGATGAGTACTAGCTTCTTTTTTTTAAAGAAAAAACTGTAGTAGTAGTAGTAGTAGTAGTAGTAGCAGTAGCAGTAATAATTTAAACAACAGCATCCTGTCTGGGATTGCCTAGATGGCACTAGTCCTTGCCGAACGGCGAACATTTTGAAGGTCTGGGGACATTTCGTGCAAAACTGAGATTCGATGCTCAGAGCACTAGCTACTATTACATTTACATATGGCTGTGAAATGTAGACCTTACCAGCTGAACTTGAAAGGAAGATACAAGCATTGGAAATGCGAGTTTCAGAAAAATTCTTGGCTTATCATACAGAGACCACATTACAAAGAGATTCACCATATAATTATACAGCACATTGGCAACTATGAACTTCTTTTAACTACATTAAAAAGGAAACAAGTACAATAGTGTGGATGTGTAATAAGATCAGCCTCTCTGAAACAATACTGCAGAACTCAGTATAGGGGAAAAGGAGAAGAGGCAGACCAACAAAGACCTGGTTACAGAACCTGATTGACTGGACAGGCCTCAGGCATGCAACCATGAAGTCCATTGCAACTGACCGCCAAAGATGGAGAAAGCTGATCAGACAGTCAACAGAAACTGGTGACCCAACAACACGTAGTGTTACGGCTGATAATGATGATGATCCTGTGGATTATCATTAGGATATTTAGTTTTTCTCTATATGGAAATGGCAGCTCTTTTTTCTAGAGAAAAGGTATTGAACTCACCATAACCTGTCTTAAAAGGGTGCCGGTACTTACCACAAAGT